GCCGGACCTGACATTACAGAAAGCAACTACCCTTGCAACACAATTAGAAGCCGCGGCTGAGCATGCAAAGAGAATGACGGCCGATAGAGATGCTCTGGTGCAAGCTGTACAAGTCAAATCACAACACGCGAGCGGGAAACCCTGGTCACGTCCGACTGCTGCCTCCGCTTCGTCAGCCCGTAAGTCATGTTTCAGATGCGGTTCAGACAGACACTTAGCTAACTCTGCACAGTGTCCAGCTGCAAAGCTGTTTTGTAAATTATGCAACAAGAAGGGACATTTTGCTCGTGTGTGTCGTTCAGCCTCAGCGAATGATGTGCGCGAGGTACAAGTACATGACGTCACAGTGCTGTATCTAGAGAACTCTGCCGAAGTGCCAAAGAAACTGCATTGCAATGTGACTGTCAATACTCCTGCTTCATCTGGCACCACAGTACAATTCGTTGTGGATACAGGTTCTTCTGTGTCTATACTGCCTCTTCACATCTATAAACGTCACTTCAGTGCCACAAAATTATCAACACCTGCCATCCGCCTGGTGACTTATACACAGGAATACATACCTGTACTCGGATGCCTGCAAGCACAAGTGGGTTTATCAAACGCGTCAGCTGCTGCCACATTCTTCGTTGTGGATAAAGGGACTGCTTTGTTAGGCATGGACTTGATTTCTGACCTACAACTTCAAATAAAAGGTGATAATGTCTGCACTTCTGTCATGACCACCAATACCACATTCCTGACAGATACTGAAATAGGATGTGTAAAGAACTTTGTCCACATGGCAAAAATTGACCACACAGTAAAACCTGTGCGTCAGAAATTGCGACGCTTACCTTTTGCAGTCAGAGCGTCTGTTTCAGCTGAACTAGACCGTCTGCTAAAAGCAGGTGTCATCGAACGTGTGGATGCTTCAGCCTGGGTGTCCCCCATCGTTGTTACTGGGAAGAAAACAGGTGGAATACGAATGTGTGCAGACTTAAGAGAAGTTAACAAAGCTGTCATCACTGACTGTTATCCATTACCACACATTGATGAAATGCTTACCAGCCTTAGGGGTGCTACAGTATTTTCTACTATTGATCTGGCTAATGCATACTATCAGCTTCCCCTGCATGAGGATTGTAGAGATATTACAGCTTTTATCACCCATGACGGTCTGTTCAGATATTGCAGGGTTCCCTATGGCCTGGCGTCAGCACCCTCTGCTTTCCAAAAGATGATGGCAACCATCCTGGAGGGCGTGCCAGGTGCCAAAAATTACTTGGATGATGTTATCGTGTATGGAGAAACGGCTGAGGACCATGACTTCAACCTCAGTACAGTACTGCAGAAATTGAAAGAGTCTGGGCTGGTGTTAAATGAAAAAAAATGCAATTTCAAACAGACTTCACTGCGGTTCCTGGGCCATGTAATCAGCGCTAATGGAATCCTACCTGATCGAGAGCATCTGAATGCGGTCTGTGAAGCTCCGCCTCCATCTGATGCAGCATCCCTTCAATCCTTTCTAGGATTAGTGTCCTGGTACTCAAAATTCCTTCCTGGGTTTGCGACAGTGGTTGCCCCAATGCGTGAGTGCGCTAAAGAAAAGGGACAATTTTCTTGGACGCCTGCTGCTCAAAGCAGTTTTGAGAACATTAAACAAATGCTTGTGTCCAGTCCAGCTCTTGCTATTTATGATCCCACACTTCATTCAATCATTTCAACGGATGCCAGCGACTACGGGTTGGGCGCAGTGTTCACCCAAGTGCAATCAGACGGAACAGAAAAACCAGTGGCTTTCGCTTCTCGCACACTCACGGATGCTGAAAAGAAATATTCTATCGTGGAGAAGGAGGCCCTGGCATGTGTGTGGGCTACTGAGAAATGGCGAACGTACGTGTGGGGCCATCGCTTTACACTTCGCACTGACCATCAGGCACTCACCACCTTACTCTCTACAAAAGGCATGGGGAGAGCCGGAATGCGGATTGCTCGTTGGGCGGCACGTCTGCTATGTTTTAATTATGACGTCGTTTATAGGCCAGGTTCCCAGAACCACACAGCAGACTGCTTGTCTCGTCTTCCCATACCGTCATCTGGTGATGACCCTACTGATTTAGAGCCTGAAATTGTTGCATTAATTTCCTCTACATTATGTTCTCTTTCAGTGACTGATTTTGAAACTGCCTGTGCTGCCTGTCCTGAACTGGAGATGCTGCGAAAGCAAATTACACATGGCTGGCCACCCTCCATCAAAGCAGTGAGTCAGGACATGATTCCATACTTCAGAGTGAGAGATGAGCTTGCAGTGAAAGATGCTTTCATTTTCAGAGGAACAAGGTTGTTAGTTCCTGTAGACCTACGGCACACCTTGATTTCCTTGGCACACGAGTCTCATCAGGGAATAGTCCGCACAAAACAGAGGTTGCGGGATCTTTACTGGTGGCCGCAGATGGACTCTCAGGTCCAGTCAACTATCGCTACATGCATTCCCTGCCAGTCCAATGACAAATCTGCTGTGACGCATCCAGCACCTTTGCAGCCAGTTCAGTTTCCTGAAGGTCCGTGGAAAAAACTGGGTCTGGATGTAGTTGGACCATTTGAAACCGCCATCCCTGCTTGCAGATATGCTATAACACTCACAGACTATCACTCCAAGTGGCCTGAACTTGCATTTGCTAGTAGTGCAACTACGGTGGATGTTATAAAATTTCTGAGTACAGTTTTTAGTCGTCATGGCAACCCAGAGAGTATTGTTACGGACAATGGTACACAGTTCACCTCAGCTGCCTTCGCGGAGTTTTTGAAGGAACGAGATATTAAACACATCCGTACATCTGTGTACTATCCTGCATCTAACGGTGCTGTTGAAAGATTTCACCGTGCACTGAAAGGTTGTGTCCAGACAGCCATTCAACACTCACAACCATGGAACAAAGCTGTTACAGAGTGGCTCCAGGTGTACCGTGCAACCCCTCACGCTACTACGGGTGTATCACCATATGAGCTCTTATATGGGAGGAAGATGCGAACCAAGCTTAACATCCTGCCTTTACAGGGAGAGGGCAAATGTGATCTCGCTGCGGTCCGTGAAAATGTGGAAAAGAAACAGGACAAAATGAAACTGTACACTGATCACAGACGCGGTGCTCGCAATCCTCTCTTTGGTGTGGGAGGGAAAGTGAGAATAAGACTTCCTCGTGCAACCCCAAAAGGTCATCCTAGATTTTCTGCTCCGGTCAGAGTAGAGGAGAGAGTGGGAACCAACACATTTCTGCTCAGTGATGGAAAAAAGTGGAATGCTGCTCACCTGGCATACTCACCAGAAATGATTGACTGTGCTAGTAACACAGCGCAGCAAACGCACAACACTACACAGAGTGCTGTGAAAGTCTCGCGTATGAGACGTAAGCCTGTTTGGCACAAGGACTATGAGATACACTGAACAGGACTGTTTACATCCAAGTCGTGCAAGTGTAGGCCAAGAGAAAAACTGTTCTGAGAGAGTTAACCAGTCTTGGTTATAATTGTGTTGGAAGAAAGGTTATTAATATGTTCCAATGTCAACTGACTGCTTATGCTGACTGTTCATGTATTATGTCGTAAGTTAGGGAACAGATAGGTCTACGTTACTGTTTTATATACATTGATAATAGTTGTTAGGTTGTCACACTACTTCAGTCAGAGAACATGTTTCCTTCAAGTTGGGTTAAGAACAATGTTTTTACAAAGAGGGGAAATGTTGTGTCCTTTGCTGTAATTCATAATGCTACCTTTAGAGGCGCTGTGTTGTAAGAGGTTAGACAAGTGAGTAGAAGAAGAAGAGAGGTGGAGTGTTAGTCATGTGAAGTTACGGTCAACACATGTAAAGTTAAGATGGAAATAAAAGAGCATCATTGAAGATATACATGTCGTGCTTACTACTCATCCAGAACTTAACACAACTGTAAAAGGGTCTATACAAAATTCAGGTCCATAATGTTTGTACGCGTTTGTCGTAGACACAAAATAGCATAACTAGTAGCCAAGTGGCTATAAAGCCAGCGCTGGCATTTGAAAAAAATAAAACACAAGGAAACGTCAGGAATTATACATGCAAATACATTTAAAATGAAAATTTTTCCATAACCTAAGTGATGTAATATTCATAGTGTAATTTTCAGCAATACATGTCACGATTCATGAATTCACTGTCATGTCTCGTGTTATTGTTGTTCTGTGAGTATGAGCGCGTGTGAGTGGGCGTTACCGTCTTCTGACCATAAATAAATAAGAGTTAACTTGCATTTGCTTCCGTCCTGTTCTTGTGACAATACAAGTATAAATGAAATGTATATATATCTTATGTTAAAGAGATTACATATGCTGCTGTACCCTTAATGTATCATTATGTATTTATTTTGCAATGTGCACAAGATAGTATATTACAGTTTTCTTGATTTCAGAGTGTGTATGTCTTAACAATTTATATTTAATTATTTTTGCACTTTTTAATATATAATTTTGAATACTGAATAAAACAGCATTATAATAAACAATTAGTGTAATGCTAATATATTTTTAATGAGCTGTAAAGAAACACTTAAATGCACTAAATGTACTTGAAGTGGTTCTATTTGAGCACAATTTAATATATTAAATTATATTACAAATAGCTTAAAATATACTTTAAGCATATCTTTAAATACATTTAATATACTTGAAGTTGTTTAAAAAATACACATTTTATATGCACTTAATATAGTATACGTTGTATGTCCAAAAAAGCAAAATTTAAATATATTTCCTTTTCACCAGGGAGGAACTGAGGAACTCCCAGTGGTACGACCCGATCTGTCTATTATAAAGAGGTGTACTAGTGATTATTATACATTTTGTAATTTTTAAAAACAAAAAAGTAAACTGCAGCTTTTAGCCCGATGTAAAGGCCTACTTCGGTTCTTTGTGCGTCTTGAATTGTTTTGCAATAATTATTTTGTCCACAAGGTGGAAACACTGGCCCGTGCCATGAGGACAAAAACAACAATAAAACAACACCCACGTCGGTTCACGATCTGTGAGGGGATTAAAAGCTGTTCATGCTGCAGTAAATGGTGTGTTTTTCGAACTGCAAGTACATCCATTGTAGTATTTATCAGGTAAAATATAAACCCAAATGTTTGGTGAATCAAAACGTGAATGATTTCCGAATTAATTTGAGTCAGAATTTCAATCCTAAATGATTTCTTTTAAATTACATTGTCCGATTTAAAATTGACTGTAGGTGCCTCATTTTAGCTCGTACTGACTAACGATCGTATTGTTCACATGTCAATTTGTTAAGGTTATGTATTATGTGGAGCGATATTTTATGGTATGTTTGGATGAAACCTGGTAACGTTTGTGTAACAATGTGTAACACACTATGAGCATCCGAAGAATACACATACCATATGTCAAAGACATTTGAGTTCAAGAGTGTTTGGTTTGTTCTAATACTCCCTAATTCTTTAACTGAATCAGTCTATGATAAATAATGTAAAAACGACACAAAGTCAAGTCACCTTCATATGTATATAGGGCTTTCAACAAAGTAGATTGTTCCAAAGCAGCTTTACAGTGAGATTGTTTTGGCTTCATATCAGCGCTAGAATAAAGTTATTTCCCAGCTAAAGTTAATTTCTTTTTTTTTCTTTTCTTTTTTTCCAAAGTAATAATTCCGTTTTTTTTTTCTTCAAAATAATCATGTACATGTACATTCCCATCTTCCCACAGGAGAAGAAGCAAGCAAGAGGAATTACTCCAGGAGAAACTACTGACATACTATTGAAAAGATGGAGTTTAAAGAAGAACCCTGCAGAATAAAAGATGAAGATACAGAGGAACAACTAGGTTGGTGTTTTCCTTGATTCTAATTAATGAAAACTGACATATAACAATACAATGCTAAATTAATTTTTTTTTAAGTTTCTCGTTTGTCCTCCTTTATTTAAATGATGGCAATTTAATATGTTGATTTTAGACGCAATGGAAGTGAATGAAGACAATCAGCATAATTTTGCAAATGAAGATGAAAACATCATTTCACAGACTGAAAAGAATTTGGCACAGAAAAGTGCTCTAAAAACTGATGAAAAAGATTCTTTCACTTGTTCTGAGTGTGGAAAGAGTTTAAACAATAAATCAAACCTAACGAGACACATGAGATTTCACACTGGAAAAAGACCTTATACATGTACTGAGTGTGGAAAGAGTTTTGTTCTTAAAGGACACTTGAAGAGACACCTACTAGTTCACACTGGAGAAAAACCGTTTACATGCACTCAGTGTGGAAAAAGTTTCGCATCCAAAACCTCTCTCACCACTCATCTGCACTCTCACACTGGAGTGAGATCATTCGGCTGTGTTCAGTGTGATAAAACATTTGTTTTTGACCAAAACTTAAGAGAACACCTTAAAGTTCATGATAGTGTGAAGGCTCATGTTTGCTCTTTTTGTGGAAAAGGTTTTTCACTACTGAAAAATTTACAAGTTCACCAGAGTATTCATACTGGTGTGAGACCTTATATGTGCTTTGACTGTGGAAAGAGCTTTAATACATTAAGCAACTTAAAAAGACACCGAAGAATTCATACTGGAGAGAAACCGTTCAAGTGCTCACTCTGTGGTAAGAGTTTCTCTCATTCATCGTCCTTGAAAGCTCACGAGAGTGTTCATACTGGAGAGAAGCCGCACCAGTGCTTTTCATGTGGGAAGAGTTTCACCTGTTCTTCTAATCTACTGACTCATAAGAAGAAGCATTGTTGTGTGAGCAAAAGCACTTGTGAAACAATGGTGCCGTCAGTCCATTAAAACTATGTTAATGTTAATGAGTTCAACGATGTTAGAAACTCACATTTAAAGTGTACAGTAGATGTTAATATATTGAATTCTGTCAAGTTTGGTCTCGGGGTAGTTTATGGTTGAATGGGTTTTTATTAATATACTGCAGGGCTATTCAATTGGCGGCCTGCGGGCCAAGTGCGGCCCGCCAATCATTTTCATACGGCCCGAGGACATCCCAACCTCCCTCCTATTTTCTGGTGGTGGGGCTAAATTTGGTTAGATATGCGCGTGGCCGCAGGGACGCCTGCAGCTGGACGACTATACACACTGTGTGTGTACCATGAGGCATGAGCGCTCCAACTGACCTGAGAGAAATGTTTTCAGTCCGAATATTTAAGCAGTAATTATGTGTGTCCCGTATTTCTGTTGACTAAACCAGCGATATTAATCATTCGTTGGTTCGATTATTTCCTTTCCATGAATTGGCCAAACGCGCTTGCATAACGGTCTGAAACGATTTGGATTCGTTCGGACCGTTCTGTCACTGAATCATCTGAAGCGGTTTCTCGGTCAGTAACAACACATAGAGAACAAAATAGCGCTGGTTTAGTTGTTTCTCTAGTTTACTTTGAACTAGGCAGCACGGCCTAGCGGATAATGAAACGCAAAGCTTAAAGGAGTTGCATTTACTCTTGGTCCCAGACATTATTATTAAACAGCGTTGCGACATCAAGTGAGAAGTTAAGTCAAGTCAAGTCACATTTATTTATATAGCGCTTTTCACAATACAGATTGTATCAAAGCAGCTTCACAGTGATAACATGAAAGTAGTACAACACAGATCAATAATATTGTTAAATATTAAATACTAAATAACCCCGACTAAGCAAGCCAAAAGCAAGGCGACAGTGGCAAGGAACCAAAACTCCATCAGATTGGATGGAGAAAAAACCTTGGGAGAACCCAGGCTCAGCTGGGGGCCAGGGGCTCGTTCTTCGTTTGTTGCTTAAAACATCCGAGATCAAATGAGACATCTAAGATGATATCATCGTGCTAATCATGATCCGGCTAATTGGGTTCTTCGAACACACCTGTTGTTTATGATTAGTATCGCTGGATTGAGTTATCTGAGATAACTGCGCGTTCTCGGGTTGGTTTAAAAGGGGACATGTATCGATAGCAGAACCAGTGATCAGCAGCGCTGATATTGGCTGTTCAGCATGGCCAAAGAACACGCCCAGTTTTTCTCCCAAGCAGAGCAAGCGCTTTTAATGCAAGGTTATGCCGAATTTCAGTCTTTAATTAAAACGCCAGGGAACACCTCAAAGTGTGCAAAAGCCAGGAGAGAGTGCTGGCAAAACTAGAAGACAAATTAAATGCGTTTGTGGTGGCCATGTTAGATGTTTTAATAACTTATTATTATTTTATTTTTATTTTCATAATTTCATAATTACTTTGTTCATTGTAATGTCGAGTCACCACACTATAACAATGGACATGGTGAAAGTGAAGTACAAAAATATTCTACTTAATGGTAATTTTAGGCCTTTTAAAAAGGCACTGTTAAATATATTATTGTCTGTTTATAAAAGCAACCAGGAAAAAGGCTGAGAAAAAAATAATAATGATGCTCCTGACCCTGGCAGAAGAGCTGACCCTTGGGTTGAATGTGAATTGGCCTGTTGTGAAGGGCATCCCTGGGTTCAGTTCTTCCAGACCCACATCAGGGACCAGTAGCAGCAACACCTTCATCACTGGGAAATGAGATTTAAATTATCTTTGTACACTGTGAAATAATTTGTTGGTGCATTAAATGAAGTAGACCTATAATCCAAATTGTCTAGTTTAGTCATTTCAACTGTTAAATCTTGAGTAATGATAAATTGCTTTGTCTTGTGAAAGTAAAAACTAATAATACTTATGTTAATGTATTGCAATGAGTTATCAATCACATTGCACTGGAGAGTGAAGAAAACTTCTCAGATGACTGTCCTTTGGAGGAAGTACTTTAATTTAATTAATGGCTTTAATTGATTTCTACTTGTGCCTATGCCTATTATTTCTGACAGGAGTCCACATGTACAGAAAGGCCTACAGAAGAGTCTGCACACAGCAGTGATACAGGGGTGGGCAGTTTAGAGACAACTTTTGCTTTTTATTTGTTGCATGAGGCATGGGTGACACAAATGACACAGGGTTAAATTTGTTCCCTATATGAGTCTTCAAAAGAAAATAGAGTATTTTGAAAAAACAAAAATCAGGGGGAGAAACAGAACTTGACTAAGAAAAAATTGCACTAGAAATAGAGTTGCTTCAAAATAAACTTCAGAGTAAAATCACACAGAGTACTATTGCTGACCTTGTATAATATCTTTTAAAAAGATGATTGAATGACTGGCTTTTCTTTACAAAGAACTATTGAAATAAAACTCTAAGCAAATAGAGTTTAGCAATTTGTCTTGTCTTTTATTTTAGGCTTAATTAAACATTTTTTTTTTCTTTTTCTGATGTTGGCAGTGTTGTGTAATATGGCACATGCAATGTCACAGGCCCTGTCAGGTGCAACCCTCAGGCTTTTCAGACCCTGAAATCTTCCCTTTAGTTGGCCAAAGCTCATGTCATTGTGTGCCCTTGTCCTAGAGCTGCATTGTAACTGGTCTGGGGTTTGGGTCAGGGAATGGAGTCATAAAACACCTGTCTCCATGCAGGATCCTGTTGTAATCACCTGTTTAATGGAAAAATGCAGTTCTCAGCATAATTATATGTAATACCGTGAGTTTGATATTTATAATTGTCCTTACCATGTTCAAATAATGTTCATAAATGTGAATCTCTTAAAATTCTTGAGTCATGCACTGGTCATTTTGCTTTACACTGATTTGTGATATAGAACATGGTCACACACCATCTAAAAGATTTTACTCATCAAAAGATTTTTACTTGTCAAATGCCTTTTAAAAAAAGTGATATAATATTCCAAATCTGGAATATTAAAAATTGTAATAGTAATTTGGCTGCACTGTATAAGCCCCCTTTCTGCTCACAAAATCCCTTCATTGAGGCCTTGATGGGAACATGTGTGTAGTCTACAGTGTATGGCACCAATTACGTAAGTTAAGCCTGAGGGACTGTAAGTCATAATTGGCATGGTCATCATGATTGCATTATCTTCATTAAAAATTATAATATACCCTAAGTTGGCAAAAAAAAACAAAAAACAAAAACTAAGAGCACTACTTTGTGAATGGCACGACAGAAAGCTTCTCAAGTTCTCCGCATCTCCAATAGTGTAAAGGAAGCCACTTGCAAATAATTTTAGGGCAATGCAAACATTTTGTGCTGTTGTTGAAGCCCGACATCGAATCGAACGTTAATGTGCATTTCCAACAAAATAATAATGTATTTAAACGACACCCTCACGATGATCGTTTCACGAGAAAAAAAATAAAAAATCTCAGAAATTAGGCTACACTATCGCGCTGCGCTGAAGGACTTCCCGTATCAGCCGCGATCTAATCCTGTTTACATGAAATAAGCCTGCTCGCGAGCAGGTTCAAGCTGACGGACCTGTTGCTATGACAGCAAATCCAGGATGAGCGTCGAAGAACCAAACGATCCAAGATCATGGCAAATCGCCAACAATCAAATCCAGCTAACTGAGTTAGCGACGTACGAAGAACGAGCCCCAGTTCTCCTCTGACTTACATTCATATTGTTTATATATAAAATATTAAATATAAATATTGTTTATATATAAAACGGCGCCGTAACATATCGCCAGCGTTGAGTCGTCTCTTCACAGGCGCTGGTCTTTTCATCACAGGCGTTGGGGCATCCGAAATCCCCGTGAGAGGCTGGACACAAAACTGGACCTGACGAACGCCATTTTTCTCGGGACAAGCGTCCCGAGATAACAGCAGAAAGGCAGTTGGGAAATAATGAGCATAGCTGATGTTCATAATGATTTCCATTATACGGGAGTCGGTGTTAGAAAACCACTATCTCACAAACTCTCCGTAACCTGAACTCTCCGCAGCCCAACCATACGCGCCGACCCGTTTGTCTAAAAGGCTGTCGAGCCCCACTGGTGCGTTAAGCAGTTTCAGTGGCAAACGGTTCCGTATGGCATAACAGAGGACTAAAAGGTAAGCATTATGTGAATGCTTGACTAGAGATGCGTCTTTAATCTAGTTTTAAACTGTGTCAGCGAGTCAGATCCTCGGACCGTATCGGGAAGGCTATTCCAGAGTTTTGGAGCTAAATGCGAGAACGCCCTCCCTCCTTTAGTGGACTTAGATATCCTAGGAATGACCAGAAGCCTTGAATTTAGTGATCTTAAAGGTTCTCAAAGCGATCCTGGGTGTTGACGTTCGAATATTTTCAAACAAATCGGAGCTAGACCCTCCCTCCTCCGCATCTCATCTCCTCCCCCTCCCTTCCGTGCTTCCTGAAATAATTGTGAACGTGCATAGTTCTAGCTAATTATATCCTTGTGTGGGTTTGGCGAACATAAGCGTCAATTTAGAAGAAAAAAAACAATTTAACATTACCCACCTGTCAAGCAAAAACAGAGCAACCTGAATGTCGGACTGGAAGCCCTTCTGCCGCCGGAGTTCTCGCCATCGTTCAAAAGCTTTGCTACCGATGTAAATTCGGAACTTAGCACATTCTTTATCCGACTCCTTCTTCTTTTTAATTTGTTCCTCAGAACGACGTCTCTGGTCGTGTGTCGGTCATTTTTCAAACTTCCCTCTGATGCTTCGCTGCTCTCCTTCACACACACACACACACCCTTCATGTGCACGCGCACTAACCCCCCAGACCCACCCTCAAAAACTTCTTGCCAGTGATTGGCTGGAACACTGTTTGTTAGGTTTCGTGGTCCGGGTAAGACATGATTGTTTTTGTTGCCGTTTGTGGAGCCTGTGGTGTCTACAGAGACCGCGTTTTTTTTACAGTGTGTTTAGGGGACAGGTAGCTAGCCGATAGTGAGGAGACGTTTGATGTATGTGACAAAAAATGTTTTGGCCCAGCATCGCTTAGACAACCTTGGAACGCGGTGGATTGTAGGGCGAAAGAAGGTCCGTTAAGTACATAGGAGCTAAACCATTTAGGGCTTTATAGGTCAGTAGTAGTACTTTGTAGTTGATACGGAACTTAATAGGTAACCAGTGTAGAGATGATAAAATCGGTGTTATATGATCATATTTTCTTGACCTAGTAAGAACTCTAGCAGCTGCATTTTGTACTCACTGTAGCTTGTTTGTTGACGATGCAGGACAACCGGCTAATAAAGCATTACAGTAGTCTAGTCTCGAGGTCATGAATGCATTAACTAACTTTTCTGCATCAGAAACAGATAGCATGTTACGTAGCTTAGCAATGTTTCTAAGGTGGAAAAAGGCTGTTCTTGTAACACATGAAATATAATTTTGAAGTTGCAGTCTAGTATAACACCCAGGTCTTTTACTGTTGTGGATAAAGTAACAGGACATCCGTCTATATTAAAGTTGTATTGTGTGAGGTTTTGTGAGTAGTTTTTTGGACCAATAAGTAATACCTCCGTTTTATCTGAATTTAATAGCAGGAAATAACGCGTCATCCAGCATTTTATATCTTTGAGACACTCTGTCATTTTAGATAAGTTAGTGTTTTCATCTGGTCGTGATGAAATATATAATTGAGTGTCGTCAGCGTAACAGTGGAAGTTAATTCCGTGTTTTCTTATAATATTACCAAGTGGCAGCATATACTGTATATTGAGAATAGCAGAGGGCCTAAAACCGATCCTTGCGGTACATAGTCTACAG